AGCGTTACAGTAATCTCTCACTAATGAATTAATCAGCCTCAGAGTGTGGACAAATTATTCAACAAGCGCTGAGACGTGATTGGATGGAGCTTGTCATCGTCCTCTCTTTTATTCTGAAATAAATCTAAAAGCTTTAAAGTTTAGGCTCGAGTAGTTTAAGTAAACGAGGAACACATTCAGGTAGATGCACAACTCGAGAAATAATCCCATTTCATAGAACTCATATTGTGTTAATTCCATAAGCTCTACAAACAGCTTCATCCAACAACAAAAAAATTTTGAAAAATAATTAAACTCGAAAGTCCAGTACGTAAAAAGATTTTAGGTACAATAAAGTATTCAGTGACATAAATTGCACTATAACTACTAGTATCCCTCCCAGCAGTTCACCGCCTCATGGTGGCTGGGAGGTGTTCATGGGTATCGAAGATGATGCTAAGAAGGTGTTCAGCGTTTTCATTAGGAAAGCCAGCTAAGAGTAAACCAATACCAGGATCCACCACTTTTCTGCTACCAAACTGGTCGCATAGCCGCAAATCTCGCTGTGATTCATAAAGACCGCGTCTGCCTGTGGCGGTAACGAACTGGGGCAGACTTTGGCCTAGATGACCTCAGGACTCCAGGGAACCACAGTGGCTAAGCTAGCAAAACTCCGAAAAAAAGGAGATTATGCTGGGGCCCGCACAGCCCGTGAAGAGGGGTCATCCAAGCAACCAACTATCCATCCATAACTACTACCAGCTAGTCTGAAAATACTAACAAATAAGTGAAAACAAGGAACTTTCACAAATTCTTAACTGTCTACGACATCACATCGTCTCATCAGTAGATCTGCTGTCTGACTCATTATGGTATACAGTAAACGATGTCAGCACTAATTAAATAAACACGTATCGGGCAGATATTTAGCAGATTTCGTTAAAAAATTCGATTACATGATGAATTAATAGTGAAAGAATAGCAAGGTGTGTGGAGGCAACACAGCAGTTTCCGTCCGACTGCAACGTCGACGGACGGCCGGCCGGCCGGACCGATTCCCAAGCATTATCTAATTGTTATGAGAATTGCCCATCGCGCTGTCATTCAACAAACATGGAAATGAGCCTGTGACATCGCGTCGTCGTCCTCGCCTCCGACGTCGCTCCGTCGCACAACGACGGTCCGACGCTGATTCGTTACGGTATGTCGACGACGATACGAGCGATGTGACGTTACGCTTGTGGACTAAGACCGCCGTCACCGCCGTCGCAGTGATGCGCTTAATCACTCTTCGTTTACTTTAACACCTTATCAGCGAAGCGCTTAGATTAATCATAGGTCCGAGTCAAGACCAGTCAACGACCATGACAACGACGACGGCAACGAGATGCACTGCTATGAGAACAGTTCTGCTAAGATTTTAGAATGAGTAAAAAAGTGCAGTAAAGAAGAAAGGAAAAGTGTTGAAGGAGAGGAACAGAGAGGAGAGAGGAAGGAAGTCAAAGACGCGCGCGCGTTAGTGAAGGTGTGTTCCCACAGTCGGCCACTAATAATGACAATATGATGGAAATCCTCTCTGACAATTGCACTGGCAATTTAGCCGAAGCGAATCACTGAGGATAGATTTCATTCAAAGTTACCACGACAACTGAGCTCGTTAAAAAAAATCGAGGATTTGAAATGAAAGAGAGAGGCGTTAGTGAAATGAATTGACGTGAAGAACAAACTGGTACGACAAAATAGCAATTGGGAACAGTATGTCGCCTTGTCGTTCGTACCGCACATCGGCAAGTGTAAGCAAACACAAATCGGTATCGCGATGATGACGATGATGATGGTGAGTGAGATGATGTGGGCATTGACGAGACGCGTATGGGGAAGAGGAACATTGACGATTCGTGACCACGCCGAACAGCAGCATACGTGGAAGTATTCCACTAAGTAGAACGAATAATTTTAGAACGATTCGTTTTCTGTATCTATCGCCAGCATCGGCATCGCTTTCGGACGACGTCCAAACAATCATTAGCCACACTAACAGGCTCATCAGACGCGCACAGTTATTGGTTTAGCCACGTCCGCACCCGGCCGCAATTCACGAAAAACAGCAGAAAGTGAAAGATTTTGGCAGGCAGCGAGGCTAATTGGGCGCAGCGAGAAGAACGATGGCCGACACACCACCATGGCTGCCTTCCCCCCGGAGACTCCCCGGGGAGATAGCGTGGTGTGTGTGTGTATGTGTGTATGTGGTGTGTGGCTGTGTATGTGTGTGTTCTAGTTGATGAACACTGCCTAAGGTGCGTTTTCTATTCTCTGACAACTGCTGGTCAGCTACACGAGTCACATTTTTGAAGCTTTGGGGGTAGGTGAATTTTTTTAAAAATCGAAGCATTTTTGGCAGCATTGGGGTCTATCTTATGAGGACACTCCTCTTTACCTTCTTTCCCAGACACGTATGTTTCATTCACAGAACGTTGAGGATCAAGAATTAAGCGGAGAACACATTTTACATTCTACTTTCGATGTTTTGTTTCCTACTTCTGTTATATTACATATTTCCAATATAATTCATAGCTGTAAATCCAAAATAGTTCACAACTTGTGCTGTTATAGAAAACGCTAAACTCAGAAATAAGTGCCATAAATAAGGGCATAATCTCTGCGTAACTTGGACTACTCTTTAAACAAGCTTCGCATCCTATATAATGGGACTTACTGAATGAAACAATCTCGGGAAACCATGGAAAGAAATTCACAAATGAAAAAGAAGCTTCAAGCTAGGTCAAAACGATTGGATATACAGGAAATCACTTCAGTAGTAATAATGATTTAATATTTCGATATTAAGAGAACCTGCTGGTTAGTTTTGTGGATCATCCAGGCCGATGAGGCGGTACACCTTGGGTGCGCGAGTATCGTCCTGTTGACTTACCTATTGTGCACGATTTCATCGTCGAATAGAACAATACATTTTCAAGCGAGTCACATCAAATAACATCGAACCGGTACTACAGAGCTGAGAAATCTCGGTTTTAATTCTAAATCTGAATGAAGAATACATGAAATAACATGTCAAATAATATTAGTATTTAGTGAAGTTCCGGTTTCGTTAAAAAGATCTATTTACTGGAAAGTAGTGGGATTGAATAGCAAAAACGCGGTACCTATAGCCTTACCAGATCGATTGAAGGACATACAAGGTAAAAGTAATAGTTAGGGTGATGGAAGTGCTAAAGAAATCCTAAATGAACGAAAAATTGAAAAAACTCAAAAATTATTGCAAGAAACTCCAAAATGACAAGAACTTTAACGACATGACCAATTCTTAAAGTTGACAACGAAGATTTGATGTCATAGATAAGAACAGTAATGGATGGAAGAAGTTAATTGGCTATGTTTAACAGATGAATGCCATAGATAGCCCAGTATCGAGAGACTGGAAAGTACACCATCACTTCTGCTTCTGCCTCGATTTCGCGATAGAATGGCAATGGACGAAGGGAAATTTTGCTTGTGATGCGAATCGGAGGATTTTTGATGGAAGGCCAGAATTAAACAAAGATGATTTATTAATTCCATTTCTTTAATTAAGACCAACATGTAATATAATCGTCATAGCATTTGTAGTGGGTGACGACATTTCAAACAAAGAAACCATCAATGAAGGCAAAAACTACCCAACTAGTAATTCGGAGCAATTTTAAAAGTGCTCATAATGTAAGAACTACAGAGCCATAGTAAACATTAAGTTAGTGGCTCAAATGGTTGGTGCCACTAAAATGTAAGATAGAAAGAGAACTTAAACCATCCGTAGACGAGAGAGGGAAGTCTCGGTAGGTCTTATATATAATAGTACCTACTGTTAGTATCACATGCTGTCCAGTGAAAGGTACGACAAAAAGAGTATTTTTTAAGGAAGACTTGAATAAGAGTGAAAAATTAGAGAGAAACATCTCCATATTGATAGACAACGAGGAGTCCGTTTACGAACACTGTGATGCTACCGACGGTGCACCAAACGGCGGTGGTCCTCGTAGGCAGTCACCAGAGCGCCACCACAGAAATGTCCTTCACGTGCAACAATACATTGCTGAGGCCAAAATGAGGGCGTTAGTGTGTATGTGTGTATGTGTATGTGTGGGTGTGTGTGTATGGGTCTATGTGACTGAGAGACTGAGGTAGCAGTAGCCGATGGAGTGACGACAACGATAACGACGATGACGAAAAACAATCTGCGCGAAGGGACCGCACTAAACGTTCCGGCATATTATATCGTAGTACAACCCGGAATGAACTCAACTGAAACTTACCTGGAGATGACCGTGTTCTGCAAAAGATTATGAGAGACTACTGACACCAACAACATTGTCGCTCCCTATAGGATACGGCAACGATGATCATCGAAATACAACTCACTCTTTCTTAAACAGAATTTTTTCTGAATTAATGAAAAACAAGCTCGGTGCTCGTGCATTCAAGTGATGCGTGTGCCGTTCAGTAGACTTCAAAAATATTCATCGCTTTTTTACGATTACACTAATCTTCAAAGGCGCAGACACAATGAAATCTTTATAAAGTGTACATACATGTATGTATATGTGTATACATATATATATATATATATATATATATATATATAATAACTGACGTTTCAATGATTCCTCGTGTCAAACGATTGCGGGAAATGCGAAAGAAGCAATAATATGGGAAAACCAAATCGTAAGGACCAGTCTGAGATGTCCGCGGCGTTCCGTTGCGTAGAGGTCTGTCTGTGCTTATCCTCGTGCATATATATATACATAAGTGTGTAGGTGTGTGTATATATGTATTCATGTGAGTGAGTGTGTATGTGGATATTTACAGCTGCAATGAGAGCTGCTGCCGGAGTCGAGGCAAGCCCGAAATTAGGCAATGACGCCGATTCATCATATTGGGGCCTTTGAGACTTGGCCAACCCTCGCCTAATTTTCCCGCATTTCGATTGTTAGTTAGAGGAGCAGCGAGAAGGCGCCACATGCCAAATGAACGGCATGCGTAAAAAGAAAGCCGCTGTTGTCTGTTTGATGCCGTCCGTCCATCCGTTCGCCGGCCAGCGAGCTGGTCGGCCGGATAGCAGCGTATGGTGGTGTAACAAGGTGCAATCACTGGCTCTTACTGTTACTGCACTTGTAATGACTGCTCTGAAGACAGTTCTCTATAGATGGTCGCTGAAGAAAAAGATGAGTCCAGGAACAGAGCATGAAGACTCATAGCCATGGCGAGTATTTTAGAAATTGGAATGAACGATGCACTTCACTTAGACTAGTGTGCGCAACTGATCATCACCGCTATCATCATCATTATCATCGTCATCATCATGGCGATTCTATTAAGAAAAAAGTGCTGGGTAACGCAAGAAATTTCTAGCTCACCTATTGTGTTACGAGGCCAGGTGCTTGTTTCGTGGCATGTCATGTGGCCTAAAATTGAAACATCAATGGATAGAAGGCTTATTCGTCTTGACGATTTGAGTTCTCAGGAGGAAAGAAAAACACTCGAGCTATCAATTCTTTCAAGTTAAGAGACATTTTTGAAAAAAGTGGAGAACTTCATCAAATTCTCGAGTGTTGGAGTTGGCTCATTGCTGTTGAGTTTTAAGTAAGAGATGGAAAGAAACGCCCTCGGTGACCTCTGTGACCTCGATGACGTTCTCAGAACGAACTCGAGCCCTACAGTAATCAGCTTGTTATCTCTAGTGGAAACATTTTTTGCAGAGTATTTACGACAAACGTACGTCTTCGATTCTTTGCTGAAGAATTTTTTCCTCAGTACCATTTCATTGAACTGGCATTGTTTTTTCCTTTCTCTCCAAATGATCTCGTAAAACTGGTTATTTCATCAACGAGTAAAGATTTACAAAGGTACTGGCAACTCAAAGAATTTTCGGGCGATCTTACTATAAATATAGTCTTATTGTATCCTTATAGGTGAATATTTGCAAAATTCCATAGCAGTTCACCGAGGTTAACGAGCTGAACATAACCTGGCCTAAACTTTCTTTTCTGTTTTAGGTCCATAAGGCTTGTACTTGAAAGTGAAAATGAATTTACAGAAACTTGGATAGGAAAAATATGACGTGGAGCAAGGTTGTGCTAATGGCACATTTATAGCGTTAAATAAAAAAAAGTTTATTTCAACCCAGAAGGAAAAGCTGTCGAGAAGAAGAACTCCTTTATGTTTATCTACTATGTTATGACATATGTACAATCGTCCCAGTAGATTCTACTTAATATTAATCAGTTTGAATTAGCAGAAATTAGGGTGAGAAAGTGAAGAGGAACCTTGGGTGGACCATTAAACATTCCAGTCGAACGGTATAAAAACTCAACAAAATAACCAACTAAAAAAGCACCGCCCAATGTATAAGAAAAAACTTTGTCTAATGTATGAAATTGTATAAATAATTTTGTATAAGTCATTTTTCTTGCTTGTGCTTTAGAAGGATTCATTTCCCAACGGAATCCTTTAACTTCTCTTACTTTAAGTCTGCAGGTTCGATTAATACAACCTTTTCATTTAATTATACTTTTTTGTTGTCTTCTAAAATACTTAATATGTGAAAAAGAGATTTTTTGCATTGGAAGAACCATTCTACCTACTTACCAATAGCGTCCTGTTTATGTGGTGTGTCAAAAGCACACAATCGGCATTTATAGTGTGTAATCGTTTGGCGTAGATTCGTACGATGTGCGACACTCTCACAATGGTCCCGCAACGAAGAGGCACTATAAAAAAAAGATGTACGTGCGTATATGTACAGATGAATATTTATCTGTGCATGTAAGTGCTTAGTGTTTATGTGTATATGCAGCCGGATGTAAGTGGCATATGCGTGTGTGTGTGTGCATGCATATTCGGTGTCTATGTGCATGTGTATGCACGTCTATACGTGAGTCTGCCAGCAGGTGTTGGTGCGCAAGTTTGTAAGTACGTAGGTGTATCGGTGTGTGCATATGCTTATATACATACATATTTATATGTTTGCTGTATGTCTTTGTGTATCTATGAATGATGAGTGTCTAACATCGTCAGTAGTGCAAATGATAAACACTATATCAACACATACTTCAGTTACAGTAAGACAACTCGATGTGCATAAAACACTCAACAAACGTTCTTATCTCATAATATTCGATATAGACTGGACTATATACCAAGTTTTTAAAGTCTTCTACGCAAGTTATAGCGGAAAAAAAGACAATTTTATGTTGTTTGTGACACTGAAGCGAGCGGAACCAACAACTGTCCAGCACTGGTAAGTGATGAAGGACAAATGGTAGTGGAATGTACTGGCTCACCGCTTCGAGTCACTCTTAACAACCAACAGTCACACAGTTGATATAAAATATGAGATCACTACTGTCTTATAGAAAACAGTGAATGCAAATATGATTCTTTCTTCCACAAATCAGCGCTCAGTCTTCTACGCGCAGTTCAGTGAACGACGAACTAGAATGAAGAAAATCACGATGAACTTATCTTGAAGAAAATTTCGCGTCACATCCGTCTTGGAGTTTTTTTTTAAACAAAAACTCACACTGAGAGGAAACTGTGCTGTGGTAAACTAAGAGAATCTTCTGTATGGTCCCTTGTTTTGTACTTGTTTGAGTGCATAGTAGTACAAAGGGTACATAACAGTCTAAGGTCCCATCACACATCAAAAACCAAAAAGGTTCATAATAGTTGAGGCATGTGATCCATTTCAACTAACACAAAAGACTTTAGAAACGTCTGTATTGAAGAAATTTATGAAAAAATTTTAAGGGGATCACTAATGCCCAGGATCCCAAGGCATAGGCGCCGAAAATGTTTTTTATGATGTTCGTCCAGGTTTTCTACCATGTTAACGCCGTTCACTCGAAAAAAAATCTGTTGACAGCAAAATATGGGACAGAATAAAAACACTGCATGAAAACAACGCATGAAGTTTATCATACACGTCAAAAGTAAGGATTTGTTTAAAAAAACGAATGAAGGAAGCAAACGTGATAACTTCTGAAATCCTGTGTCTGTCAAAGTGGTGTGAAACGATGCCAAGACTAGCTAATTTCTTTGTTCAGAAATGTTAGTCGCCATTCAGACAATAACGTCTGGTTGTCATAAAGAAGAGAAAAAGTCCTAGCGCAGCCGATAACAACTAAACAACTACCTAGGAAGCAGAATGCAACAAAAAGTTCAATGATGGACGATGTGCTTACCTTGCTAGAAGCTCCTGACACGGTCGACACAGTACTTGAAATATTGTCTTCGTGTTTCCGATTCGACAAAGAGCCGATGAAGAGGCGGTGGTGGCACCCTCACGGATGTGATTAACCTAGAAACATTCGCAAACTCCTCAATAGTCATTGAATCAACCACTCTGATTTGCATATCCATCCTGTTATAAATTCCTCTATGGCGATGGAAAAAATAATAGATAACCTGGAAAAAATAATCCTGGATATAAAATCCGTGATAAAAATGCTTCCGCTTGGGGATCATCTGGTCTACCATTAACCCAAAAAGGAACAGGAAGGAAAAAAACCCATATGTCAAACTTGGAACTTGTCAATAATTGATTTTTTAGTTTATCAACATTTTTAGACTGTTCTCGTGAAAGAGTCTATGTGAAATGTACACGGCTGTGCACTCATTCCATATAAAGTAAGCGGACAAAGGACTCTGAAGAAAAAAGGTTTGAAATCCTTTAAACTTTAGACACTGAGAAGTAACTTTCGCAACTGCCTTAGCAACTTTAGGTTACCCCATAGACAGTAGACTAATTTATAACAGAACGGATATAAATATTTAAATTTAAGTAATTGTTTTCATATAGAATTTGGAGAAATTTGGGAAAGATTGAAATTGGTCGGTAATAGGAGTGTAAATAGACGCCATGTAGAGCATTAAAATCCTGATGGAGCAAAAAATCTAGGAGAAACGATTTATTAAATTGAATCGTTCGAATTCATTGAAGCATATAAGCCGATATAAGAGGATTGATTGTCCGAATGAGTTACGTTGTTGAATGAGGTGGTTCGCCGGCCGATTGAAGGACCTGATTCAAATGAATGCGAATGATTGGAGACCAGCAGCAACATGGCCACCAACCACCGTACGTACTATGATAATCATCCACATCTGCCACATTCTACTTTTCAATCATTTTTGCAACAATTCACATCAACGGTTAATAAATTACATTAAAAACTATTAGGGAAGCTGTTCTCTTCCATGCCTATTCGGCTTTTCTTAGTCCATTCTTTATAGTTTCAAGGACAACGACGATTTTTTTTGATGACTCCTACCTATCTACTTCGAATAGAAATACAATAACTTACAAAAAAACTAATCATATTTGGTTCGTACTAATCGGCTTTGTTTTGCGGAACGACCAAAATCAAACGAGTGAAGAGACTGCCAAGCAGCGTATTCCATGAATCGCAACTAAGTACAGCTTCTAATAGCTTTTGTAACATATGTTTAGGCAGATTACAGTTTCAGATTCAAATCAGACACGTAGAGCCGATAGTCTCCCTGATGATTGTAACACAGACGATTTTAGGCAGAGCTAACATAACGACGGCTGCCGCGGTCGCATGCGGCGGACGCGTGCGACAGCCACCGTTGATGAGTTTATTTGTGGCTGAGTTAGGGATTCTATAAGAGTATTATAGATCGCGATACAAATAAAAGTAATCGCTACGTCTCACAAATAAATACACGATCCATTCGCAATTGCTTTTGCATTCGGTCTACGGCTTGTTTCGCCGCGCCACCCGCCGTCATCTCATTGTCGCCGCCACCGTCACCGCCACTGCCGGCGACACCGCCTGATCATAAACACATCGATTGCCTCTATAATCGCATTAACATAAAGCGATAATACGAATAACTAGTCGTCTACCTTGACGCGATGATACGCGCCCAAATGATGTGTGACCTTCACGTCTTGATCGTCATCATCCATGCTTTTCATCTAAGGAGAACTGAACGTAATCCTTTAAGACGTTACCGTCTCTGAGAAAATAGTGGGTGTTTCACCAAAGTTTCTTCCAGAAAAAACCATAGACTTGCTAATACGGATCCAGCTTTAATTGCCAGCAGAGTTATAAGATATTTCACAGGTGACTGGAGTGCTGAAAGAGAAGATGCAGTTGGATTAACGCGATGTACGACCTGGTGCTTCGAACTGAGTTGTACTTTCTGCAGGCATGTAGTCACATTCTACAAA